AACCATGACTTCCTAATTAATAATATAAAACAGATAAAAATGAGATGAACATGTCATGGCACACACACACACACACACACACACACACACCTCTTAAACCAAACCAAAATATAATTCAACGAGTCTGTGTTAGAAAAATAACATAAATCGAAATAAATTTTCAAATCTCATTTATAATTGAGTATGTGGCGACTGATCCTGTTCCTGCGCTCTTACCGAGTTTGGCATCATTACACAGCTGCACTAGGACCCTCACCATATAAATCCTAAGCAAGCTACTTTCATTTGTCTCATTCCGTTTGAAAAATACATGTAACAAACTAATAATTATAAACGACAGTGATTCTCACCAATAAGAACTATTTCTTTTAGACCAACAAAACCAACTGTCGTTTGAATAATTCTAAGTTCCCAATGGCTCTTCCCAACACTCGAGTTTCATTCGGATAAATTTATAACTCGGGGTTATATGTGCTTTCTTATACCAATCTTTTAAAATGTATACGTTAATACAATAAATAGTATTTAAACATATCAACATAACGTATTGATAATATTTTATATTGATGTTAGTTATACTTGCTGTAGAAAAAATACGCAACTGTGCGTGCGCGGAGCTAGTTTCACACAGCTCTCTGCTCTGTAGAAGAGGAGTTCCCAACTGCCAATTATGGGGGATGGGAGAGAACTCTTCCATTATCTGGGAATAGCTTTGTATACGGGGCAACATGGAAAACTGACGGACAATATTGACCCATCAGGCAGGTTCCGTGTGAGATGTTGTCCAGGACAGAGATACGTTGATATTGGGTACAAGTATAACTCAGTACAGCTGCTTAGACAGAACGAGACAGAACGTCCCGGTACACAGAACGAGACAGAACGTCCTGGTACACAGAACGAGACAGAACGTTCCGGTACACAGAACGAGACAGAACGTCCCGGTACACAGACCGAGACAGAACGTCCCGGTACACAGAGCGAGACAGAACGTCCCGGTACACAGAACGAGACAGAACGTTCGGGTACACAGACCGAGACAGAACGTCCCGGTACACAGAACGAGACAGAACGTCCCGGTACACAGAACGAGACAGAACGTCCCGGTACACAGAACGAGACAGAACGTCCCAGTACACAGACCGATACTTTCCTTGGGGCTAGGAGACTTAAAATTACCAGCAAATAAAACTTCATATATTACATCAATCATTTTATTGTAGATTTGGTGGCAAATTCTCTTTTTTTACTTGAAAGTAAACCTTTATAAGTCAGAAAAAAAATCAGGACCTGGAACTCACTTCAGCCACAGGTGTTGAGCACACATTATATGACATATATAATATGCAATATAACAATATTAACTATCAATATCATATACTTATAGCATATGAAGGTTGTCCTGTACCTTTTAATTCACTTAAAATAGACAGGTTTTTGAAATAGTGGAGTTTGAGATAAAACAAAAGGAAAGCGTGTAGTGAATATGCATTTTATGTAAGTGTACTCAAATAAGTAGTGTTGTAAATTTAAAATATAAATATAAATTAGAAAGGACATTATTGCAAAAACAAAACACTTTTGATTTGAAAATTACCTAAAAGAACCTCCTGACTTAATCATCAGTTTTAAATAAACAATCTGTAAGTGACAATTGAATTTACTGTAATTTTTTTATTCTTTTATACATACATATGCCTGTATAACTTACACATGTTTTCAAAAACAGAAATGGTACTATTTTGGTTGCTTTAGCTCATTGTGAAAACAGCAAATTATATTTGTGATCTACCCTACCCCCTTTGGTACCCCCAAAACAACCACTTTCAGTCAAACTTTTGCCTTAGTTTAGGCGCATGTAATCTCTTTGAACAAATTAAGGAGGTGAAAATCTGCATATAGACACTCATCCTTTGCCAAAAAGAAAATATTATTCAATTATAGCCTTTGGTTGAGGTTGATACCTAGATTTATCAACCCAGGTGTCAACCGAAGTTAAAGGCTACAATTGCTTTATTATCTTAAAAACAGTAATGTAAGCAATCTGCAAAAGTACACAACAAAAATGCTACGGAAGCGGGACGGTGCGTTCGTTTGGAGACACGTTATCATTCTATTTTTAGAAACACCCAGTTCTTTAACACAACTCATCGCTCCAAGTCAATGTCGATTTTTATCGGTGGACACGTGATGTACATCTGGCCAATCACTTGTCGGGAATAATATGAAAATATCATATTATTTTTGATTTTTTTTGTTAGTCACTGTAGGTCGAAACACAGCCAAGTGCTCCATACCTCATGGCCTTTGGGACTGATGGGAAAGCTACAATGGTCGACAGGCGGCCGTCTTGAGTTTTGAGAGTTAGAGTTTGTTAGCATTATTTCTCATAAAAGTACTAGAGGGATCTTTCTCAAAGAGCTATGGCGGGTTACTATGGCTATTTGATTTGAAAAATAATAAATTTTTGCTTAATTAAGGAAAAAGATCACATGCCTAAATATTTAAAAACATAAACGTGGATTCGAACTTGCACCTTTCACTTCGTCTGGTCACAAATTCACTGCGTTACACATTCGGCTACATCGGACATAGACCAGTATGGAAATACAAACTGTTTTAACTCCCGTTTTTCCTTATTTTAAGGACTTTCCCAAAGGAGGTCAACTTTTCCGGCATACGATTTGTTTTTGCATATCACATCACGGAATCAAAAAGTTTATTCAAAAGTTGGTCCTCAGTTGAGAAAGTGTTGAAAGTGTTTTTGCAGTATCATATTAACAATTAACAATTAACAATGGGTGGTCGGGTGGTGCAGTGGATAGCGCGCTTGCCTTTCACCAAGGAGGCCGGGGTTCGATTCCCAGATCGGACGTGAAAAGGTACGGGGTCATCTGCCCGACCACGTGGGTTTTCTCCGGGTACTCCGGTTTCCTCCCACAACAAGACCCCCCGCGCGCCAACGAGAGTGATTAATATTAGTTGAAATAACTTGTTTCATAATTGTTGTAAAATAAATAAAGTTTAAATATTATATTATAATATATCTCAGCAGTTCAAAAATTCATATTCAATTGGTTTTATTTCTATGCATTTTCGCTACTAGAAATTATTTACTCATTAATAATTTTTCCCGTTTTCATAAATCCCGACTTATGGAAATATGTGCAGTTTTCCGCCATAGCTCTTTCACAAGAAGGTTCTCTATGGTCCGTCTTTTTAAATTGTTCACACTGAGAATGACAGCTAGGAAAACAAGATTATCACCAAAGAGCCATCTTGAATTTCGACAGTTCAATTATATTGTCATAATTCTTCCTCGAGAACGACTGGATAGATATTTGTGGCTTAACATTGAAAACGATATTCGGTTTTATATCTTTTCAAACTTTGTTTTTCAAATCACTGATAAAATATACCATTTTTTATTAATTTATCAACGAATTGGGCTTGAGCACAGAATCTGAGTTTTCTACACAGAAATAATTATATTGGGCAAACTAATTTTGAAAAGAAGACTGAAGCTATGCACTTATTTAGGAGGAAATCTAACGATGCTGTCTGCAGAATTGGGTTTGTTAATGAAAAGAAGCCGAGAATGTAAATTGCTTATGGATGCAAGACAGACGACGCACGACGGACGACGGACGACGCAAGACAGACGACGGACGATAATTCAAATAAGACCGAGACTTCACTTAATAAAACCAGACTAGATAACTTAAACCCCAGGGGCTATTTATAGTGGTAACATGAGACACTCATATCAGGAACAAAACAACTGTTACAACAACTACAAAGGGACAATACGTGTAGTTCTTTATTAGCCAAAAAGCCCCTAGGCTTATAGGTACATACATTATATGCATATAACATTCTCCAAACATAGAATAGACAGGAGAGTGACATCACAGTATACATTAAACACCGTTCAATAATGTGCATATAACAATAATTAATTAACACATTACAGTTATGAAACACCACAATACATAAACCTTGAAATAACGCCTCTTAAATGCTAAATATAAATATTTTCCTAAATTGGATAGCTCTCTAACATTATTCGTACTAAGTAGTTGTATTAATTAAAAAATGGAGGGTTTTCTGTAATAATATTGTTTGAATAATCTGTGCCTGAGATCGCTATAAAATGGACAAATCAAAATAAAATGAAACTCGTCTTCTATATCTCTCAAATTACATTTGTTACAAATCCTGTTCCAGCGTGTGACGTTATGATGTCTTCCAATTTCTATATTTAATTCATGAGACGATATCCTAAATTTAGTTAACATTTGTTTGTATTTATTTTCAAAAGTTTACTTAAATAAAATTGAATACAATGACTATCTATTAAGTGTTGTAACAACCGAAAGTGAAATCTAAACACTTATGAGTCCAGCAAAGAGGTTTCTTAGAATGGAACCAGTGCTGGAAAATATAATTAAGTGTCATTAAATATCGTTAGGTGTAACAATAAGGGTTTTAGAGTAATTATCACTATATAGACAGAACTTAGGTATTCCGTTCGTTCGGACTCATTACAACTAAAACAGTTAGAAATGTCCATTTGAAAACATAAGAATATAAAACGCATTTGAAAACTCTGCCCTGTGCTCTGAAAATAAATCAAAAGATTAAAAAAAAATGATTTTAAACTAAACGAATGGAAAAATGATTAATTCTTTGACAAGTTTCACTTTATACAGCGTATTAACAAGAAAATAACCGCATAAAAATGTAATAACAAATGTGTTTAAACGAGATAATTTTCGATTTTTAACCAGATAACGACTGCATTTTTACGATATAACTCACTCGTTTTAACGGGATACATAATGTATTATAGCGTTCCGTTATAATTCGACAGTTATTCTTGCATGGGCGTAAAAAATAGTAGGAAAATCTGTGCTAAATTGTTGACGTTATTTTTGATTTTAGAAAGCCCGCAAAATATAACGTCATGATTTTGTGAAACGTCGACATGGAAACGCACGTGGAACAACAGGAAGTGGACGTCCATCAAGCAAGATGGGGAGGAAGATGGGTGAGTAAGCGACAGTTATTCGGGAGGGGGAGGGGTTTGGGTGAGTAAGCGACAGTTATTCGGGAGGGGGAGGGGTTTGGGTGAGTAAGCGACA